TTACCTTTGACACTGATGGTCAAGCAGCAGCCTGGGTATGTAGCGTGAAAAAAATGAATGCTGGCAAGTGACGCTTTTTTTCTTTAGCCATGATTGATCTGCAATTGATTGATGCATTGGGTTATGACAAAGTTCAAACCTCGCCATCCATCTGGTGATCAAGAGAAAGCAGATTGACATTTGGAATTGTCTTTAGGTCGGATGTGTGCCTCGTGTAGAGACGAGGACCAATGGTGCTTTCAATGGGAAAGGAATGTCTAAACCAAGATGTTTTTTTCCTTACGCCCCAATTTAAAATCCACCAAATATGTGGTGGTTTTAGATCTTAGACCAATATATTTGTTTTTCTAGACGAGTAGTTAAAGTAACCTTTAAGCCTATACAACTAGTTAGGCTAAAGCTAGTATGTTTAATAGCTTTTCATTTCCCTGTATAGACAACATACATCCTGTATCACAGCGGTTTGTATCATTTCCATGTGAAAAAGTGAAATGAAACTGAATGTGGACGGCCGGACTCTAGTCTGAACAATAGAATATAAAAAAGGCAAACAAAATAATGCTGGTCAATTAGAACCTGCCCTTTCTATAGTCTTCTCTAATAAACTGAAAGGTTACAGCTGGCTGGTTTAATGTGTTGCTTGCTGTGGAGAAAAGCTGCCGGAAATCACCATTTAATGTGATGCCTTTAGTGAGCAAGAAAATATATTCTGCAAAGTGACCCCAGAGCAAAAAGATTGCCTAACTTTCTCTAACCGGAGGACACCTCTATAAATGCAGAGATATTTCATACACCACATTGTGTTCCTGAGTCCTCCTCATTATAGCACCTACTCTGAGATATACACGCCCTGTCAGATGAGCCACATCACACACACACACAGCTGACATGACAAAGAGTGGTGCTGCTGAGGAGGACAGTGCGATGGCCAGGTGACGGACACCGATATTATTTGTGCAGCAGCCAGCGTTCAATCATCCTCTTCTCTCCCCCCTCCATCTCTTTCCCCTCCTTCTGTCATCCACCCTTTTTCCAGCCGCTGTTCTTGGCAGTGGTGGCGAAAAGATTTCTGGGGCTATCACTCTTCCTCTCGTCCTCCTCTTCTCTCGGTCGGTGAATCACTGCTTCTCCTCTGAGCACTCCCTGGCTGTGAATGGCTTGCTGCTCTCTCCGTTTTTTCGTTCTCTCAGAATCTCCCTTTTCATCTACACAGATTGGAAAACGACTGCTTTTGTCAAGTCCAAAAAAAGAGAAATCAGAAAGAGAGAAATCTGCCGAAAAACGGCTGGAAATCAGATTTGAAGCATGTTCAAAGACGTTTTGAAATTTGATTCAAATCTATTCCCAGAGTTGATCAGTCTTTTTAGTCAAATACTAATTCTAACGCCATTACTCAAAAAGCAACAGCACATATTTGACGTTTAATCTAAAACACAGTTAACCAGCCGTCACTGCAGCACAAAGTAGGGCAGTTCCGGTAAGCGTACATATGCATGCCTTGAGTAGTCATTACCAGAGCCACCAATGCTGACGGGTTGAAAATGCCTTAACACACAAATGCAGGCATGATCAGGGCATTGCTTACAGTAACGATCAGGTTGGAGAAACGTGCAAATGTGCCTGCATTCTGGACAGAGACAACAACATTGCTGTTTTTGTGTTCACCTTTTTGCACTTTCTTTCTCAATCCCTTCCCTTTTCCCTTCAAGCATGTTCCTTGGCTCGCTCTGTTATTTTCACACTCACTCTGTCTCTCTCATCTCCTCAACGCCATCCATTCAAATTCCCTTACCCTCCCCTGTACATTGCTTTGGCGTATAACTCTTCCTCACTCTCTCCGACTCTCTCCCTCTCATTTTGACGGCCGCCCACGTAATGCACCTCCTTTTTCTCTCTCTCTCTTGTCCCTCTCTTTTGGTCTCTCTCATTTACCTCCGGAAACCTCTATACTCTCTTTCTCTCTCTCTCTGTGTGTGTGGAAATGATTTGTATTGATCCACTCTCATAACGGGGAGAAGGTCAGGGGTTCACTAATAAAGCTCAGGGACAAAACAGAGACACACAAACAAACTGATGGACACACGGACACACACACACACACAAATATAGCCAGGAAACAGGGCTGAGGTGACGAATAGTGTTTCCAACAAACACATTTTACAACAGATCTACTTCTCATATGCCTTAACATTTGTATTAACAGAAAAGCCGCCACCTTTTCACTGCGTTCATAAACATATCACCGTAATGACGCCCTGAGGCTAGAAATTATGATCTAGCACATATATGAAGCGCACACAGGGAGCTGACAGAGCGCCAGGCCATCCATCATGGCTGTGTGGCTAACAGCTGTCCAGTCCTCCCTCGCCCTCTCCACAGCTTCATGGCAGGGTCAAACTAAACGTATTCACCCTCAACCCTCACGCAACACAGCCTTTCCTACACTTCTCTGTGAAATGCAGTTGAGGTTGTCATTCATGAGTTTTTAGCCTAGAGGTTAGAGAAGTTAGTTGGAATTCCTTGAGTGGCTGGGAAAAACCCTGGTGGGGTTCAGCACCAAACGGCGGTAGCTTAAACTTTAGTGAGCATTGAACCAGAAGATTCCCAGTTTATATACCTAGATCAGCTGGAGAAATTCGTATGTGGAAAATACTCCCAGTTAGTTGTGTATGTTTATGCTATACACAAAGTAAACTGCTTCCACTAGTATGCAACAGTGGAAAAATTGCATCTATTAGCCGGTACTAACAATTTCTCAATAACAGGTCCCACGCTGGGAAATTATATCAGGCATCTGAGGTCAAAATTAGGGTTGCTTGGACCACAAAGTGAGGTAAAGGTTAGTGGTGGGCGGCTGACATTGGGTCCCTGCTTAGGGCCAAAGTGGCGATGTCATTAACCTGGAGCCGACCCCTCAGGCCTCGCTGCTGTCGGGGGGTCAGCCAATCAGCTTATCTCCAAGGCTATTACATCATCAGTGTCAAAAGCTTAAACAAAACAAAAGTTGTATTGAGGGGATGTTTAAGTGATGATGAATTATGAGTGAAAATAATCTTCAGTAGCCATGGTAACAGGCTTGACTGTCAGGAAAGGATGGGGTTGTTGCAGGACGCTCTTGTTTTAAATAACTTGCTGGTTGAATAAAACTTGAGGGGAAGCCAACTTTAATGTTTCTGGTCACACATGTGCTTTTCCTGCTTGAATAAGTAAAGAAACGGTCTTGGAAACGTATCTGCAATGAAAACCTGTATGTCTACTTTGGAGTCTTATCAAAAGCACACACACTGCATGGCGCTTACAGTCCTTTGATGTTGGATAGTCTATCTACTGAGAGTTATCATGACAGCAACACTTTCCTCCCCTCCTGAAAATGCTGATGAGGTAGTCAGCATATCAGCACAATGCAGCAGTTATCTACCTGGCAGGTGCATTTGCAACTACAGTGTTTGACTAGCCAGCACTGCAAGATATCGGATGAAGTTGCACTGGACCACATAAAAAGGCGGAGTCAAATCCTTTGCTGTACTAACCTGCGATTTGTACCACAGCGCTCTGTCCCAAGAGCTCCTGCTGCACCGGTGCAAAGGTCTAATTGAAATAAATGAGCCTGCTTTTTTAGCCTTCAGCTATTGTCAGTGTGATGGGACCAAAGAATGAAAGAGGAGAATAAAAGAATTAGGAAAACCACTGAACAGGTAAGAGACTACATCTACAGAAATTGTCGAAATAAAGGGGACTCGGCTGGTCATTCACATCACTTACACTACCTCACAAAACACACCTGGGCACTCAAATTAATGAAGACCTACACAGAAAAAGAGTGCTATTCTTACCAAGTATCCAACTCCATTAGTTTGTGTGTGTGTGTGTGTGTGTGTGTGTGTGTGTGTGTGTGTGTGTGTGTGTGTACAAAGGACACCTGCTGGAAAAAATGGTGTGCACTGACATTTAAAGAAAAAGCTTTAAAAGCAGGTCTGTTAATTAAGCTATTTTAAGAGAGCGTGAGATGGAGGAGATGGATTGTTGAATTTAAAGAGCACACATGACGGAAGGTGAGGTCGCTGAGACAGGTGGTCATCTAAGAGTGAGACACTTAACACTAAAAGAGGAAACAAAGACATAAGAGGCTTCTAGCAGATGCAGCCTGGAGAGAGTGCGTAAGTAAGGGGAAACAGAAGAGACGCATGAAAGTCAGAGAAAAAAGGATGAATATACGTTCACTACGGATAAATACTAGAGTGTGTGCTGTTGTGTAGTGCCTTAAGGACTCCAGTGTGAGTGCCTGTATGTGCCTGTGTTAGCGGGGTCCTCTAACGCATGCAGGGCCATGCACTGTGGATCAGTTAGTAAAAACCCAGTCTAGCTTATGCTATCCCCAAGGATCTCACGCTGCAGTGCACCGCACCATACTGTGTGTATGTGTGTGTGCTTGAGTCTTACTCCTGAGTGACATTTCACAAATCCAGGGGACTGGGCTAATGATGTCCCCTGTCTGACTAAATCAAAGCAGAAGAGGTGGTGGGTACAGGGGAAATGGGCAGAAGAAAGTGAAATATAGGACAGCAGGAGAGAAAAAAGAGCTCCTCTGACTTTCTATGAACTAACTGTCACGTGGCCTCATGAATGGAGCACGAGTAAGCCGGCATTCAATTAGCAGGTGCTCAAAAAAGTGTAGAATGGAGGAATAGGAATATCATCAAGACTAGTCTTTACTATTTGAACGAACAATGTATTCGTACAAGCATACTTTCTGTAAGGTTCTTGAGAAAACGTGTGCATATAAGAGAAACAGAATGCGGCAACATGTCTTGTTAGATTGGTTTCTAAGAGGCCAACTAACACTAATGCCAAACACGTTCACATTTTATCATAAAAACCTAATATGTGTAACTTTTAATAACTTTAATTGATAAGTTATTGGTTCCCTTTGAGGAAAAGGCTATGCAGAAAGTGTGTTCTCAACTGAACTCAAAAAGCTCTAAGAACAGATTCAAGCTTACCGAGTTGATGCAGGCGAGCTCCTTGTTGAGCAGCCAGGGTAAGGAGAGTTTGCCGTCTCCCTTGTAGCAGGACTGAATTCTCTCTTTGATCTTCTCCTTTATCCTCCTCAGGGTGAACAGACACAATGCTGACTCTTTGGGTGGTTTGGCCCGATTCTTCTGACCCTGAGAGAAGACTGTGAAGAGGATGTCTTCATTCTCGGAGATCCCCAGGGACTTGGCCAGCTGCCGGCCCGGCTGAGCCAAGAAGGCATCCTGCACCAGGCGGTACTCTACCCCATCTTTAGTGCAGCCAATGGGAAACTCTACGTAGGAGTAAAACTTGGGGTCATCCACGCAGAGGCGGACTATTTTGGAAGTGAAGAACTGCTCTCCACTAGCATCTGGGGAAGTCAATTGAGTGTCCAGCTGCATTGTTAGGTAATAAACAAACTGCTCGCTGCTGAAGCTGTACACATAATAAATGTCGAAAGCAGGGAATTTAGACAAAGTGTCCGAGGGGATCTTCAGTTGAGAGGAGACAAACTCATCCTGGTAGACAAAGCTGAACATGTCGGCATTTTCTTCATTCTCCATCAGCTTGCGGCTAGACAGGGTGGGGAAGTACTCAGATTTGCCATCAATAGGGGTTCCGATGAATAACTTGCTGGTGGTACTGTGGGGGGAGCTTATGATGACCCCGGACATGGTACCAGACTCTGCCACACTGGAGAGGTAGTGCTCCTTGCGGTGGTGGGGCTCGCCGAGTTTAAAGAGGTCGTCCAGACGTAGGAACTGGCAGATCCCCTGAGAAGTGCTGCCACAGGCAATGAGGCGGTTTTGGTCATAGTCTATGAGAAGAAGCTTGTTCACATTTGGGGTCTGAGCTAGATCATGAGGACAGGACTGGACACTGGGCGGAGGGTAGCACTTCTCATTGTCCACAACTGGGCCAGTCATGTGGTTGCGCAGTTTGGTCAGGTTGCTAGACAGCTTAAAAATCCAGTTGACGGCTCCCACATATACTTCTCCAGTTTTGTTGTGGATGGCCAGATGTGTAAGCCCCGACTCAGTCGGAGCAAACTGTTTAAAGGGCGGGGGTTGGGCTCCAGAAAGGGATGAGCTCATGATAAGCAAAAAACCCAAGAGGAAACACAAGTTCCCCTGGCCAGGGGAAGCCGCTGACTGAGATAGGGGACACATATCTGGGCTGTTTAGAGGCAAGGCTTAGGGGGGTGGGGAAGGAGAAGGAGAGGAGGAGAAGGAGGAGAAGTACAAGCTCTGGTGCAAGGGCGAAGTCAGGGTTTTCTTCCGTGTTTTACTCTTCTGTCCAGGAATAAAGGAGGACAGCTTCAGGGACAGAGAGAAGGATGAAGGGAGCGGCAACAAAACTCCTATTGATCGGCTGTCCCGTTCTCAGTGTTGCAAGCCGTCATCAGGAACATCATCCACAGAGGCACGAGGTGGGAGCCCTGGAAGGCAGAAAGAAAAAACACGGTTAGCGTCCATGGAACATTTCCTATTGATTATGCATCAAACAGGCAGAGAAGCCTAAAAGGCTCACAAATTGCACAGCCAAAATTAGAAAAAATTCAAGCTGACATTTGCCCTAGTGATAAATAAATAATATCAAATCAAGTCTGGAAGGCAAATGTGTGCCTGCATTTAATTAAGAGTGAAGATAGCAGGAGAGGCATGGGCCGATTATTAAAGGCTCTGCACACATAATGCGAGTCTTGCTGGAATGAGTTATATACTCGCAACATTGAACTCTTTAATATTTCATAACTTTAAACTTGACCGTGGTGGCTTTGAAGGAGGCATGTGTTTGAAAAAGTACCAAGGGGCACTGTTACATTGACAGCCAGCAATTTATAGCCATAGTCTGCTCGAAGGCTTTCCTGTCAAGGTTTCAACGGTATTCACAGACTATACTGTAGCCTCTGCCGTTCTGGCATCTTTATGCAGGCATCAGGCTTACATCAGGTCACCCCACACACTGCCTTCTCTCAGGGAGCTACGAAAACAATATATCAGGCCAAATATAGCAGAAAGAAATACATAAACCTTTGACATCAGTCAGAAGAACACTCAAAACCTGCATCAGGTGCATATAAGATTAGAGCGATTTCCGAAAGTCAATTGAACTGCATCTCAAAAGGCAACCTCGTAATTCTTTTTTAAATACAACACTGACTTGACAAAATGACTTTAGGCCCCGGGCAACAAAAAGTTAGATCTGGATCAAGTTCTGCAGCAACACAGTGTGCGTCATTCGGTAAAGCAATTGAAAATCAATCAGATAAAATTCCGTGTAAAATGTCACTGATGTTTACCCTGAAATTGTCAAGATGAGGGATTATCATCAGTACCTGTGGCAAGTGCCCACGCGAATGAGACCACCTTTTTTATTTATTCAAACAGTGCTGTTTTCAATCTCACTGTGGCTCAGAATTGGCCCCCTTTCAGTGAACATGGCGCCACTTCCAATCCCACTGCCATCATTGTCCTCCTATACAAGCTATTTCTGATACTAGAAGAGCGGGCAGTTGGCAAATACACATGTTCTTAGGTCTGTTTTCATTTATGAGCTCCTATGAGCTTATTTCACACTGAACTCCACAGCTGGTATCCCTTGACAACCTGGGATGCAGACACAGAGCTGGTATATAAAAGGGCAGGAGTGAAATAATTTATAGGATGGATGTTTTACACATAAAGGATGGGGAGGAGAAAAAGGAGGAGTCAAAAGGGAGAGTATTTTCTGGCGTCTTCCAACGACAACACAATGATGAAGAAGAGCACAGAATCTCGGGCATGTGCCGCTGCTTGACAGGCCAATCATGTTCTGCAATACTGGGACATTAGTTCTCCTGTAAATGCTGATTATGCAAAACAGGACGCAACTCTCCCAGGGACCCCCGCGCTTCAATTTCACCTTGACTATCAAAGTGTCTGCAGGAAGGGTGTTTTATGGCCACGAACTGGAAAGAATGACAAAACACTGTAAAGAGATGAGTGGGGAAGAAAAGGGGAAGGGAGATAAAGAAGGCAAAAACATGATAGAGAAAATCAAAAGAAGGACACAGAGGGGAGAGGCGAAGAGGAATGTTGGCTTTTCCTTTCTTTCCATCCTTATCTTGGTTTCCGCCTCCCGCTCACCATGTGGTGAACCACAGGAGTAAGGATTACCGTCTATCACTCACCTGGAAACAGGCCAGGGAGTGTGGTTACCAAGCTCAGAGGGATGAATGTATGTTTTAAAACCTTTTTTGTTTTATACACCTATCTTTGGGGAAAAAGTGAACCCTACAATGCACTTTTGGAAGTCTTCTAAAAATGAAACACCTTTGTAAGAGGAGTCATTAAATTGCACATCAATTTTAGTCAGTGCTGCTGCAAATAGTGTGTGTGAGTGAGAAAGACAGAGAGAGGAAGAGCAGGAGAAAAGAGAAATAGCAGTGGTAATGTTCATGGAATAGCAAACCATAGCTCAGCTGAGACAACACTGGCCAGGTTCAGGGAGAGGTGGTGTCATCCAATTTCCACAAATGAAAGGCCTGGAGAAGACGTATAGGGAGAGGGAAAAACCAATGGGAGCAGTGAAAGAAAAAAAGAAGACAAAGTAGAAGTCCAAGAGGAGGAGAAACTGCATAGAAGGGAAGACATAGAGAGAGGAGAAGAAGAAGGGAGGAGTGGGAGCCAAACAAAAGGTGGTCCTGTGCTGCACTTTAAATCAGAGCTCTACCTGGGCTTGAATCAAACACCAGGGGTGCGGTACCTCTGAGTTTTCTGCGTGCCTGAGCTGCCGTTATCAGATATACCCTCACTCTCCACTCTGTGAGATTAAAACTACTTGACGCAGATTGTGGCCTCTTCCACATAAGCAGCTGCAATAAAGTGACTAGACAGCTTATTAAAAAAACTAATTTCTTGCTCAACAATACAGTCGCGACGCCCGATGAGAGTGGATGCCAATTTAAAATGTGGGGGCACGTAGGGAGGCTCCTGTCTCATTTTCCTTTTGTCGTTTCCAAGGGAAAGATACAATGAGGCAGAATGAGCGAGCGAGCAAATCAGAGAAGCCTGATAAAGAACGAGCGGGAACATGAATACAAAGTCCCTACAGCAATTCCTCTTCATTTAGGAGCAGCCACAGCTTGATGTTAGAGAGTGAGATTCGCACAACAAATTGCATCTGGGGGTCTCCGGCTGCTTGTTATCTATTCTGGTAATAAGATGATGACATCACGACACACACTCTAACAAGACAACTTGGAGTTATGCAGCAACAGGAGAGCAATCCAAATACAAAAATCAGACATATAAAGTCTTCACAAATGGGCTCCCCACCTCCCTTTTGCAATCCCTCCACCTCCACCCCGCCATTGAAGAAACGCCCAAATGCTGTGGATATAGTCAATCACTCAGCATCTTATACACTTTGCCTTTTTTTCTTATATTTCTCAATTTTCCCTCCACCTCCTTATCCCTCTACACTCTCTTCCCATTTCAATTTCCTCCAGAGCTAGAGGGAAATGGTGGGAAGAGCACAGAAACAACGTTGCAAGCCATATCTGGCACCATCAAGGAAAAACATGTCAATCATTTTGGGCTGGTACGTGTCTGTGGCTTGGGAATGGGCAGCCGGCATATCACAGTCAGAGCTGTTATCACATCAGGGGAAAGCATTAGAGAGGCCGGGCTGTAAGGGGCCAAGTTGATTGGATTTGATATCGGGACGCGGTATCAATTGACAGGAGTGTATGATGTCCCATTGGGAATTGGAATAAAGGGATTGAAAGAGAGGTAGAAGACATAAAGGAGAGGGAAAGGCTGGCAAGGAGCGGTCCGGCCTTCAACAGCCTTACTTCATTTTGTTTATTTGGTTAAAGATTGGCGGGAATCCGGAGAAGAGATGGGGGTGGAGGTGAGTTACCATCTAACTTGTGAGGAAATTCCAGCAGTGTGTGACTCTTCTGTGCTGTTTGCACGGGAACGAAACGGGTTGTATCCGCTACTTTTCTCTTTCGTATAGCCCGTTCGTCCACACGAGGCCGTAACGGAAACGGACCCCTAAAACGATAATGGGTCCCAAGGTGGATAGATCTGCAAACGGAGCGCTTTGGGGGGCCAAACAGCTCCGTGGTGTGTACGTCCTATACGATCATTTTCCTGATAACGATGAAGCCATAGCCCCACCTTTCCCTACCTCTGCTGCTCACTGCTGCAGCATGGTCAGTAGCTACTGTCAGTAGATACTGCTACTGACCATGCTACAGATGTTAGTGCAACATCTACAGCTCCTCTACCACAACCAGCAGCAACAAGTGGACATGGAGAACTACATGAACTACATGTTGCTAAATCCACCGCGGAGAATAAACAGAAGGGCAACCATGCTCGGGCGTCTTCTTCGCTGCTTTTGGTGTATTTTGTGGCGGCCACTTACAGGCCCGGCATATGTACTTCAGCGCTTTCGAGCGGTCTTGTGTGGAAGTACAGCGCCACTTACAGGCCCGGCATATGTACTACAGCGTCTCCAGCGCTTTCGAGCGGGCTCGTGTGAACAGAAGACTTTTTTGATATCGTGTTCGGTTCGTTTGCGGTTCGTTTGCATTCCCGTGTAAATGGGGTCTTAGGAGCTGAGCTGGATCAACTCTCCCTCTCTCACACTCTTCTCCAGAGCAGCTCAACCTGTCCCTTCAGATAATGGTTGCTGCTCAGCCACAGAGCTGTGCTGATTTATTGCTGGTGGCATATCAATTACAGCACTCGCCACTGGAGGGGAGAAAGAGGAGGAGAAGGTGGCGAGAGAGGGATGATGATGAGGAAGGAAGAAGGGCAGCACTTGGACAAATACTCTACCCTTGCATCACAACATGTTGGTCACATCTGGGATAAGACAAAGAGGTGATAGGGTGGAATTGAAGGTTTTAAGAAAGAAAGAAAGAAAAGAAAATTGAGGAAGATGGATGTGTGAGAGAATGAATGCAAATTCTCAAGACACACACTCTCATATACCCAAAGTCAATTAATGTAACCCAACCATAGCATAATCGAGGAGGTGACTGAAAGCAATGTGGTTTAAAATACACACACAGGGCGCACTTCAACCCACGCACACAGGCTGCATATCCCCTGTGTGCACAAGCGGTCTCCATACAAGCACACAAAAAGTAAAAATAGATGCGGAAATCATGAGGAATTATCCGCATTGCAAATCAAAACACACATGTACCAAAACCTAATGGGTCTCTATCTTAATCTGCCCTCCACTCAGCAGCCAACACACTCCAGAGATTGGAGATTTGCCCGGGGGAGGAGAAAAGAGAGGGGTGAGGGGTGGGTAGAGGATTGAACAGCACGAGGAGGCGGCAGGAAGCGGGTGGTGGGGGTCTGCTGGTTAGAGAGGAGGTAAAATAGAAGGGGGAGCCAAGCCCTGATGCCTTAATCCCCTCCCAGGGTCTGC